GATATGATTATCGTTGAAAGGGTGGCGAGCTTTTCGCAAGTTGTGAGCGCGTTGACCTTGTGTCAAGATTGACATTAGCGTGACGGAATTACAATTATTTCAGCGATCGTATGCAGAAAAATATTACATCACTCGCTTCTCTCTTTTTTTTCGTTATACTTGCTGTCGAAAAAAAAAAAAAATACGTAACTGTAAATATTTTACACACTGAAAAAATGGGATAACTTGACTAAACCCTTCAACTAAATTACTATTTTGTTAATTGAACATATATTAGTATTTAAGTCAAATATGCGTTTTATGAGATTTAATATGTCATATTTAATTTAAATATTTTTATATGTAAAATCAACAAATTAATATTTAGTTGAAAGGTTTAGTCAAGTTAGCAAATTTCTTTTTCAGTGCACGGTTCGCACAAGCAGAGATTTAGAAAAAATTATATCGCTGTATATTCGTGTAAAATATACGTGCAAGTATAGAGTGTGATCGCTTTCAGGCACCGATTAAAGATGACACGGTTTATTAAAACAAAAAAAAAAGACATTAATTTTTTTTCTCGAAAAAAGAGGGAAAGCTCAACTGTGTTTTCCGTAAATTATTTCTTCTCGGAGAATCAATTAATTTTACGATTATTTTGGAATTTAAATGAATCGCGACATATGTTGCACGGAGAAAGTTCTTGTACCAGCTGACTATTTGCGTTACCGTAATACGTGTCTCTTCTGTAAAATTCCCATACACGCACAGACACACACATATACAGGTTTATCGTTATACTTATTTAAAAACAACTCGCGGCTTTGCTAAATATACGGAACAATTACTTTTGGTACTGTTTGACGATCGATTTCTCGAACGTTTCTCGCACAAGGAGGGCAAAGAATTACTCTTTTATTATTGATATACCGCGAATAAAATGTGCTCTTCTCAAACTTGGAGATAAAATTCAATTATGTATAAATAATTTCGTCAAGTTTTCGTAAGACATTCCAGAAATCGACCGCGACTGAGATACAATAGTCATTAAAAGTATGCTTAACTGCTTAAGAGATACGTGTTACTGATAATTAAATTATACTATCTTAATCTAAATTTAAGGAACGTCACGTTAGACAGGCAGGGATCGCTGTTGAATTAAAAAAAATTTCATTACTTTTTTTTATTTTATCAACTAATTACGATCATTTATTCTTTGACTCACATCACAAGTGTCTTAGGTTCACACGGAGAGAATTTTCTCTTAGAATTTATCCTAAAAATCATGGTAATCGTGGGACAATATGGTATTGGAAGAATTTGATAAGACTTTCTCTAATTAAATATTTACCACAATAAAACATATTAATATATACATAGTAAAATTAATCGAACATATTTTTTATATTTTATTATGGTGGATATTAATATTTTTTATTGTGGTACATATTAATCAGAGAAACTCTTATAAAATTCTTCCAATATCATATTGTCCCGCAATTACATTCGCAGGATTGTTTTCCAGAAGGGAACATAATTAATTTTTGTTTAATTTTTCTTTATTAAAAAAATGTTTTAAATTTTATTTTCATTTTTTATATTAAATATGAAAATTAGTGTTTATTCAAAAGGACAGTAAATGCTTAATTTTTTTATTGATTCCAAAGAGGGGGCAAATGCCTCCTCTTGCATTACTATGATTTTCAGGGTGAATTCTAAGAGAAAATTATCTTTGTGCACCTTGGACTAAATATGCTGTCATTGTCATTACGTTTCATCATTCGAATAAATAGACTCGTAGATAAAATGATGTGTCACGAATGATGTGCACAAACATGTTAATAATGGAATAGTTTCACTTATAATAAGAAAGCGAGATTTTAATCAATTAAATTAATTGAGAAATTTCGCTTCCTGCCCATCGTGCGCTCGTTCCATCTCCTGTCGGTATAAGCTTAAGCTAATTAAATATGAGCCATCTCGACACTCGTCTCTTCGCTTTTCTCTCCCGTCATTGCGTCGCGATAGAAAGAGAGAGTAGCGCGTTTTTTTTTAGGAGTGCAATGAAAATATGATATGTCTTATGCATCTAGGAAGGATCAACGTGCCTGCTCGCTCGTCGTCTTTGCAAGACTTTTGATATTTCTGTAAGGTAGCTCTTTCCTGTATGTGTGTATGTGTGTGTGTGCGTGAGACAACAAGTTTAGGACTTTAGGACCCGTATGACATTATTAAAAGTAATTACGTATATGCGATTTCTCTCACAGAGACGAATGTTTAAAGAAGCCAGTTCAATATATCAAATCGCGAATAATGAAAAATCTTCAGATGAATAACGGATAAATCCTCGACTACAAGATAGTTTGACGAGGATATTAAATAAATGATAATAATTGATATATCGCATTATTTTCTAATATTTTTATAGAAGCATTCATTCACAAATAAAATGGAAACTGGCTAATTAAGAGTTGAACAAACTCTTAATAAACGAATTTTTTTCTTCTTATTAAAAAATTATTTATTTTAAGTTCGTATCTTTTCAATCCTGATTTTCTCCATCATCAACAACTGTTAAATACAGAATAAAATAAAACGTAGATTATTGAATTATAGAAACTTTCGATCAGAAACATATATGCGATTTAATCAAATTTTATGTATATATTTTCTTCGTTGCGATTTTAATCTATGCTCCGAATTAGATGTACTTGTATGCGAATCCAATAATTAATTTACATTTCATAAAATTTATTTTACTTGACAGTTGCTGATGATGTTACGAAAACAGAATCCAAAAAGAACTCAAAATAATTTTGTAACAAGAAAAAAGAAAATTCGTGCACTATTTACAGAGCTCGGTTCTTAATTAGCCCGCTTCCATTTTATTTGCGAACAAATTAATATTAATCCTTTGAGTTCCCGCATAAATAAAATTTATTACTGTTTGTCGATTTGCGAAGAAAAAAATTTCTTTCAAGTAGAAGTAAAGTTATAACGTTGAGAGAAAACATCGATAAATCTCTCATTGCGCAAGATTAGTAGCGAATCGCAGGTGGACATCTTCCTGCAGCTGTCATCCCGCATTCGATCAACGAACCATTAGTTCGCATTAGAGACATAAGCGGATAATATAAGACGTCCACAATTCAGATGAGCTACGTTTGATATTAAACGCGATGCCGATTACAAGAGCGCAAATAGAAATCTGAGATGTAGGGAAATAGCAACGAATAGTTCGTAAAACATCGGACCATCATTCCACGGTTATTCTTAAACGTTTGCTGGATATAAAAATGTAAATTTCGACCGTAAATGCTCCAACATGTGGTTGACCTTATTTGTACGCTCGCGCTTCCTTAAACATGCTCGCGTCTTTCTCTCTCTTTCTCTCGATATTCCATCGGTGTACAGAAAGGCACGCAATTGAGAAAGTGGAAGGATACAGATCCAGAGAAAGAGGAAGCATGACATCGAGACGTCAAGCTCTCCGTGCTTTTTCTCAGCGTATATATATGTTTGTGTGTCTGAAGTGTATCTTGGAATAAGGGAGATACATACGGATACATTCACACTTCCACACATACTATTCACATGTATCGGGAAATGATTTTTTTTTAGAAGGCAACGACATTCCGACTAATCGAGCCAATTCTTTTTTCTTCGTTTTTTTCTCACAACGATACGTCGCGATCCTTTCGAACGTGCTTAAACAAGACGATTAACGCGAAAGAGAATTGCAACAGAGAACTCGATGCACCAAGTAATAATGTACATTTTTTTTAATAGGTAGCATTCTATTTTATATATATATTATATATAAAAGAATCGATATTGTAATTAACGCTGTTGAAGCTTAAATTACAAAATGCGACATATATATATATATATATATATATATAATTACATATTCCATGGATCTATATACGCGTGTAGATACCATAGAATATTTTTCACATTAATTATCGTTACTGTATCTGAAAGCAAAAAAAGAATGTGTATATAGAGACAAACGCACATTTTTTTTCTGCACACATACACATACATACGTACACGCATATACAGACACGTCCAATCGGATTTTTTTCGCCAATTTTCTTTCACTGTAGCCTGTAATTTCGTAATCTCGCGTACGTTAGTCACGTTCATCAATAAATTCATATCTGAAAATGACTATCGAGTTCACAGTCACAATCACATATGTAAATTTCTTTGATTATCGTGAAAAATCGTAAAACGAAACGAAAGATTGTTTATGTTAGCGAAAAAAAGGAGAGCCCGTGAAAAATAGCGTGAACATTATATTAAATCAGTAAAAAAATGATATATTACATACCCCGCAATTTTTATTAATTTTGAAACATAAGAAGATTGCTTTCAACAATTCATATTTCACCAATAACATTCGCTATCTAACAGTTATACACGAAACAGCTTAAAAATAACAAGAATATAAACAAATCTTCTCAATTTTCTCACATTTGCGTAAAAGTATATGTATATAAACGAGGAAGCGTTATATAATTATATAATTATATTATATTAATATATAATTATATTATATTAATATATAATTATATTATTATATAATTAACTAAAAGCATATAATTAACAAAAAGCACACAACTTGTTCGTGAAAAAATTCGATCTACATCATAACCGTGTCTACAGAAAAGTTTCGCGCGCGAAACGTTTATACTCAATCCTAATTAGAAAGATTTAACGTAACGAATAATTTGCGGCGACTGTACACATTCGATCAAGTTTATATATATATAGTATATCCGCATAGCACTTGAATTCAGTGAGCGTTTTGTTATTTTTTTTCAGAACTTCTAAATCGTTAGTGTTTCCTCATCGAATGCGTTTCAAAACGTTTGAATCTCGTTTTTAGCCGGTCGCTCTTGCCTTCACTTATCATAGGTATGTTTATTGTTTATGAGATGTGTGTATATAAAAAAATATGAATCGTCTTGTTTCTTCTATCAGAGGTAGATACGCAGGAAACAGAAGCGATATTCTTAGGTTCTCTTTTTTTTTTGTTTCGTTTTTTTTTTCGCGTGCACTTGGCTATTATGCGCGTGCCGGGTCTCTCTCACGGTTATAACATAATTTTTTTTCTTTTTTTTTCAAAATTTACGTAGCGTACTTTTAAACGTATCGCTTAAAATCAGATTTTACAAAAATGTACAAAATAACACAACACAGTCATTCCACCATATTTTTCCACACTCAAAAAAGATGATGGATAATTAATTTAATTAATTAATCGCCGCAAGAGAGAAACAAATGTCGAATTAAACACGAACCTATAGATATTTTATAAAATAGTTATGTGGCATCCCGGTGCAATAATCCAACAATTTCTACCTACTGCACTTAAGGTGCCCAGTAATTTTAATTTACTTACATATTACATTTCTATAATATAATAAAATAATTAGCTGGTCTACTACAAAGACACAAGAGCTTATATAACAGTAGGAAGTTACAGTTTTTTCCCTTATCTCTCTGACGATAAACATTTTTTTTTATTGCAAAAGAGAATTCGTGTTCTACATTTTGGTTAAGTCCAAACAAAACTACCACTTGCTTTGTACGCGCACACATATATGTATAAGGGTATTTATGCAAATATATATATTTATATGTATATACAATCACTAGACTGAAAGATAAACTATAAAAAATGGAACGTTAATGGAAAGTTGCGATATCTGCGTATAGTTATTTTTTTATGTACATAATTCCGATAATGTAGAATAGCACGAATACACGAATAATTAATGAGCGTTAAAAATATTAATTAAAGCGTTATATGAACAAAAACAAAATATCTCCTACTTGTATAATTTTCTTTCTTTTTGATAGGAAATGCGCGCGCCGTAAAACTTAACGGAACGTCTCTTGGCTATTTCGTCGTTTTGTTAAATTGCTTTTATTGCATATATATCTCTCGCTGTATTTCTTCCAAAGCGAGAAAGACGCTAGGGCGTTCCTCGATCTTGATATCTCTGCGTTCAACACACAACGAGATCGCGTAAATATCGAAACAATTTTCACTTGTGATTCAGCCCGTTTGAGAATCGTTATTCTCAACGGTCGAAAAAATGTTTCATCGTCAATAAATCTTGTATGTCGACGATTCGTCTCTCGCCCCAAGAAAGCGACCGAAGAAGGAAATGCTTTGTTAACAGCAGAGATTCGCGTGAAATAGCAGCAACGCGACGACCGGGATCTCCGTAATGTGTGGTAGTGATAGTGTCCTCGATGGCTGGGACGTTTCGCGCTAGTGTACATCGTCGGCTTGGCGTCAGTCACTACTGCCGCTGCTATTTCCGAAATACTCTCCGGCATCACCGCGACATATCGGACATGTTCGGTTAGACTGTAAAAGCAAACAAAATCGTCGTAATGCAATATCGTGTAATTTGCAAGATATACAATAAATGATAAATCTGGAGAGATGATACGACTCTTCCTTACCTTAAGCCATTTGTCGATACACTTGGAATGAAATTCGTGAGAGCACGGTAGAACGCGTAGCGATTGGAGAGCCTCGAAATCACACATGCAAACGACGCAATTAGTCTGGTCGCCCTGATGTGTCTCCGCGTTGAATTTGTAAGACGGCAACTGTTCGACTTCCGCGCGAGTCAGACCGCGCGGTTTAGCCTCGCCCAATCTCTCGGCCAAGGACAGCAATGCCTCGTAATTCTCCGTCACAGAGTCAGGCGAGGATAATTCGGCCTGATTGTACGGAGACAGCGGTGGATTGCTGAACATTGCTCTGCGAAATGAATGACGCCGGTTGTTAACATCAGTTATTTTGTTGCGCGCAGTAAGCATTATTACAATTGCACGATATGTCTTACGCGTACAGAAAATGTAGCAGATATCCCGGATACGACATGGGTGGTAACGGAGTCGTGCCTCTCCATCTACTGAATCTCGGTCGTCGCAAAACGTTGGACGTTACTCGTCGAGTTCTGTTCTGCATCATCTCCAATTGACTGTTTCGCGTCTCCGACAGGAATATAGGCGGCGGCGTTGTTACCTGCGTAAGGGCCGGTGGAGAATATGAATGCGGCAATGGTAGCGGCGCACCAGTTGCGGCGCCCACTCGGTGATGATGATGGGACTCGATCAGTTCGAGCTCGACTTCTCTCTAGAAACAAACGCGAGAAACAACAGTTAGCAATCAGGCAAATGTATCGTTTGAAAACTCTAAGATCTTTTCATTATACTTGATACAAATTGCTTAAATATAATTCGAGATTTGGATAATTTTTGTTTTCTTTAATTCGACAAGGAAGTTTCTTTTACCTCCTATAAAGAGATTAGATTAGAAAGATTACAGATACAATATGGATAAATGAGCGTAAGATTCAGTTTGAATTGAGTCCAATTATCTTTCCAAGTGTTTATCAAATTTACCTGCTGAGATAGTTGATGATGCGCGGTATAATCGGTAGTATGGACGGGTGGTGGAGGTGCGTGTGTGTGATGCAGGGCTGCTACAGGACCGCCAGCCGGGGTTGGGTATCCTCTGGAAGCAGCACCTACCAAGGAACCGACGAGACCATGTCCCGGATGTGTTGGGTGAGCAGCGGAATAGTGACTGTGATGATGCGTCACCTGCGGATGAACAATATATATTTATATATTAATGAAGTAATATCCATCAAAATGGAATACGCAATCTTCAAATCAAAACCTAACGAGATCTGTACTTGCATACAAGTATTTTTGTAAAGTACAGATCTCGTGTGGTTTTTATTGTACATGTGTGCAAAAAAAGTAGCTTAGTTTAGTTGAGGATCCATACTTACCTGGCACGAGTGTCCGAACGGGTGTGTTCCATGAGGTGCGTAGAGACTATGAAGTTGACACGGAATTCTGTAGCTCGTCGCTTGCGGATGCCACAGGGGCTCCCCGCTGACGGCGACCGGTAGACCGGACACGCCGACTTGGCTCACGTCGACGACGACGGGCGCGTTTGCACCTTGAGCGGGATGATGTCCCGTGCCGCCAGCCGCCGGATGCGGATGGGGATGTGGCTGATGGGCATTGTGGATATTGTGATGCGAGTTGTGCAGACCGTGGGGATGGGAGCTGTGGATGTTGTGATGGGAATTGTGGAGGCCGTGATGGGAATTGTGGATACTCTGATGGGGATTGTGACTCGGTAGGAACGGATAGGAGAGCCCGAACGAGTCCGTGTATCGCTGATAACGGTTCCTAACCGTCGGACTGCCACGGGTGGACATGTGATTGCGTGGGGAGCGCCGTTGGGGCGCGCCCGCAAATTCCCAAGGCGGTGGGGTTGGATGCAGAGGCGGCGTCGGAGCCGGGGGCGTCGTTTCTCGAACCTCTATCCCGGACACGGCGCCGTTGCGGGATATTCGACGACGTTTCCTCGACGGCGACTCACTCTATAAAATACACATTCCGTTTTACTTCACGTATCACATCTGAGTAACAGTATATCTATCGGAAAAGAAACTTAACTTGTTGGCAAGATTAAACAAAAAAGAAGCTATAACTATTTTTGTTTTATTAGTACAGTAGTCGAAGAACACTTTCACTATATTATATTACACGTTAAACAAGCATCGAGCATACGTAAGTTCGTTGTAGAATAAAACTCACAAGATCAAAATCTGAAAGTCCTTCGACATTTTGTACCGAAAGTAACGAGAAAACTCTGTGGTTTCCTTTCAAATTTACTCGGGAAAAAAAAGAACACAAATCGACAAAACTGAGCCGGAACGTTTACTTTTAGATCGTCAGAAATCACAAATTTAGTCGAATAAAAAAATTAATTCGATGAATTAATTACTATACTATTATGCGCTCTTTTTACTAATCATTGTCTTTCGCTTCCCATCTAAATTGCTCAACAAAAAAAAAAATAGATTGACTGAAATGACTTTTATACCAGAGGGAACAAGAAGAGCTAGTTTTCTCAAATTTACTTAGGAGAGAAAAAGCTATGAATCGACTAAATAAAGTTTACTTTTAGATCGTTGGAAATTGCACATTTAGCTTTTCTATTAACTATTGTCTCTCGCTTCCTAAATTACTTGACGAAAAATATATAATAAATTAACACTGAAGTGACACTTTGGCCATCATCGACGGACGAAACAAAACAACGTTTCTCACTTTTCTGCCATCGTCCTGACTAGGCTGTCTGTAATACGGGGGCGACGGTTGGATCTGCACGGGACTTAGAGGTAGCTGGTTTGTGGCTGAAAAGAGAAGAGGAGAAGAATTATATAACTCCATCTCCGCAATATTCCGCGATCGAGGATGGCAAAACTATTCTCTCGTCAAATTAAACTCCATGCGGTTAGGCAGGAGAACAAAAAAAATTAGATAACAAACTCGAAATTGAATAGACGAGAGAAGAGACGCACCTTGAGAGTTTCTACGATACTCCATGTCCACTCCGCTGGCTCCAAGGCCGGGACTCATGTTCAATATAGGTCCGCGCATCGCGTTCTCCTGGAAATTGCGGCGAAGCAATTAAGTGATTTCCTCGTCGACGAAGAAGGGTAAGGAAATATAAAAAAAAAAAAAAAAAAAAAATGAAGTATAACGCTCACCTGTCCGCAGATATTGATGCGCAACGGAGGGGAATTGGCCGGCGGGCCTACGGGCTCCTGGGGGAAGTGCGGTGGCGGACCCCTCGTCTGCGGGCTATGCTGCGGGGGTGGCTTGTATCCCACGCTGGATCCACCCACGTTCCCGTGATAGGAAACTTCCTTGCCAGCCGGTCCGGAGGACGTGCCAACCCCGGGGCAATCTCTGTATATATAGCAGAAAACGTAAGCGAGAGTGTCGCAGCAAAACACACAATACGGATATGCCGGAAAATACGTAATAAATTCGCCGAGATACGCCGAGCGATACATCTTCGGCGTGTATATACGTGTGTTTGTGATAACTCGAGCTAAAAACGCTGATACCGGCCGCACTCGTAATAGAAATGACTCACATATACGCGATATGGAACGGAGGATGTGTTCCGCAGCACACACCGCATCGATCCTTACGAAGGAATAATCTATTGCGCAACAATATTTTGCGAAATTGCGATCCGCGCGGAGGAGAAAAAAAGTATAGGATATTTTTCGCGATGTAAAAATTTCTCTCGAAATAAAAAAATTAAATCCCCGTTTAATAAATCGAGAATAAATTGCAATTATATTAGCGATCGTTTGCGCTGCTTCGAGTAAAGTTTATGCAAAGTGATCCGGAAACTATAAAATGCTCGTTAATTTAATTCGGGTTTATCGAGTAGATGAAATGACGGGGAATTCAATGTTATTGCAAATTTGAAAAAAAATATCTCGTCGCATCTCGGGTTTCCGAAAACGCGTATCGATCGACGAATGTAGAACGTAATCTCAATTTTGACAATTAATTTTAGTTTTCATTCTCTGGCATAGAATCTTGCCAAGGTTCGCTCTAATTGTCAGTTCAAATTTTTCCTCTTTTTTCTCTCGTTCGCGAGATATTTATAACGAATCAACCCGTTATTAACGCAAGAATTAATGATACGCAACGAGTCGCGAATTAAGCGAAAATCGAGGTTTATGCTTGAACGTCCTACAATTAAGCAAACATCTTTCCGCTAACAGAATGATGAAAGTCGCAGTCATCAAGAATGCGCCACGACAATATCTGTATACCACGACATATCTTATTTACGAATGGAAAGGAATGTGTGTCATGTAACGTGGCGTAAACAAATCGCCATATGAGAATTATCAGTTCTCCTTTGATAAAAATTTGGCGGAACGTCTTACGCGCGGATGAGAAAAATTTATAATATACGATATAGCACGCAAACGTAGATACGGATCGAGAAAAACAGATTCGTCTTTTCTCGACATTATCAGACGTTTCGTAAGATAATAATCGATATTTGTGTATTTTTTTTCATTTCAGGAAACATGTTTGCAAAGCACATTTATCTGCCACTGCAAGTATTTTTTAAAAATATCATTTTTTTTAGGAATTTTACTGAAGAAATTTAGTTTAAACTTTCGTTATCTCTCGTTAAACATTTTAAAAATTGCGATAATCGACGATCATGTAATTTTATATCGACTATACAGGGTATCCCAGACCTATCGTAAAAGCTGTTAATGGCAAGATTTCTAGGATCATTTGGATTTTTCTTCGGTGAAAATGTCGAGGCACCAATAATTTTCGAATTATAAGCAATTGACGGATTTCTCGCAAACTAAACTTTGTAGAAATAAAATATTAACAAAACTACATTCTTCAGCTAATTTCAGGTAGAATTTACTTTAGTAGACTTTTCATTTAAAAGCTTAGATACAAAGATACAGGATGACAAAAATTGAAAACGTGCAAAAAATGATGGCTTCCCTCGACATTTTCGTTAAGGAAAAATCGTCTCCAAATAATCCCACATGGAGAGAATTTTCTCTTAGAATTTACCCTGAGAATCATGATAATCGTGGGATAATGCGATATTCATAACAAGAAGAATTTGATATGTTCGAAAAATTTACTATATGTACATTATTATTTGTTATTGATAAAATTCTTCCAATACCATATTGTCCCACGATTACCATGATTTTCAGACTAAATTCTAAGAGAAAACTCTGTGCAGGAATCTAGCATTAACAAGTTTGACGGTAGGTCTGGGACACCCTGTATATATCGACAGTTCAATTTCATCTTCGAATTTTCATTAAGAAATTTTTCGAGAAGAGTTCGACGACGAGGAGATATCCGACGAAGCTTAGCTTCGCGAATGCATTCGCTTGACCTATACAAGGAGAGCACGGACGAATAAAGTGACCGTAATAGTTAACGATTCGACAAACTGGAACGCCGCGCGGCGATTTATTTATTTTTGTTAGCCGCGGATTTATTTATCTGTAAGCGCAATCGAGAAATATATAAAACCTGATACTTTTAGTGAAACGATGCGCCGTAAACAATGTATGTATATCAATGAAAATCGAACTGTTAACGTTACGTAATAATGGTATGGCGTTCGTAAAATAGTCGCACCACACGCGACTCTCGCAACACGTGATGTAACACATATTTATATAATATTTTGCCCGCGAATTTATATATATATGTATATATACGACTCGGTAACATTAACATATCATTGTTTTTCCATTACATTGCGTCATTTAAATTTTCTTTCTCATCGTCCTCTGAAACGTGTCTCGATCCTTTCTCTCGAGTCTCACGCGTATTAATTAACAATGTGGTGTAAAATATATAAAGGACAAGAGAACGCGAATGTAATAATTTTTCGATAAAAACGTCTAAGAATAAGTCGCTTTTTCCGCGATAAAAAGACATGGAAAAGTCATCGGTGAAATTGATAAGTATGTGCGCAGGCATGCTACAGTGAGATAACACTAGAATTAAGAAACATATAAATATATAAGACGGAAAAAAATTCAACAAGATTGAAATATTGAAGTGTGCGCGTTTTATAAAACACTCTGTACATTCCCGATGGCCAGTTAGAGCCAATTGGCCGAGCTTATTAATTAACGACTTTCAAAGATGTCCATGTCATGCGTCAATGCTGGCGAGATATATCGTATAGGATGGTACAAGATTACACTAACGTCTGCTCATTGCACAAACAATATGCATTAAAACATGTGAGTTTCAGAGTCATCTAATATCTAAAAATGCGACACAATTTATGGATCTTGTCCCAATTATAAAATCGCGAATTAAATTATATTTATTGAAATTTTATTGCAATATATCTTATATATAATATTTCTGGAAAGAGAAATAGATTTTTATTTAAAATTAAGTCAACGAATAATTAAATGATCAATTATTACTCAATCTATAATAAAAATAAGATAAAATGTTAAAGGATTCTATCTCAAAGTGGGGCATGAATTTTTATCCTCGCAGAGATGTTTGCAGTTCATTCTATATAAATGTAAAAGTTACTGGTACAATCTTTCAGCAGACAGAGAAAAAGAGTTATTGCGTCTCTTGGAAAATGACACAATCATGACGAGACACGTGTTGAGTTGTACAGCGTGTGTACTATTTACAAAACATGAATTTATGTATATATGTATAGAGGCAGAGCTTGACACACGTAATTTCAAAAGTCGAACGCATGAGCCATTTTTCAATATTCTTTTACATGCAAGTTGCAATGTGTGTTTGCATGCGGGGTCGAGAACTTCCTCCGATGATGCTATGCGAGAGAATAAGAGCGGGGAATCGCGTTTAAGAAGAGACTGTAGCATTGAGCGATGCTTTTCTTTTTATTGGGAAACGATAACCGCCGGCGAGAGAGTATCGTTTCGACATTTCGAGGCGAGGCGAGGAGATGCAAATGTGCTGCGACGATGCAGTTGCATGAAAACTCGTGCCGCGAATCAAAAAGATACGTACATATTTCCTCGTTCCAATTTTCGTTCATGATATTTCTATTTATGGGAGTAAATTAAATTTCTTTTTTTCTTTTACGATCTCTTTCTCCCCTCCACTTTACTTGGCACAGAGTCTGTCATTCAAGAGGATCACGAATAGTTGGCGACAAACTGCATATATCTGCAGACAGGATGTCCCGAAATACTCAGCCTTTAACTTCGATGACAGATTTTTCGACAAACTTAGACTGGAATTTTCCTCGATTAAAATCAAGAATTTTCAACTTATATCTTCGAATTACCATGCTATTGCAAATATTTACAGTGTAAATGGAACTTTATTATTCACCTAATTATTCTATATTTAAGAAAAAAATTAACTCTCTGCCATTGGAATTAAAAATAGTAATATCTCACGAGACATCCTTGCAACAAAAGAGATTCAACGAGAAACTCTAATTGAACGTTCGAAGGCTGCAAAAGTTTACACACGTGCGGCAAGAGTATAAGTCACATACCTAAAGAGAAAAACAGAAAGAAAGAAAAAAATCCAGCAAGACACACACAAAAGAGAGACAGACATAAAAATTGCACGCGAGAAGAGAAGGAAAATCAATAAAAAAAAACTTGATTTAATTGGTGAACGGATAAACGAGGCCGAGCTCTCTTGAGAAAGGCCCAAATGCGGAAATAAAGTGCATCGTTGCAACCCGTCGTTGATTGTCATATCGATTAATGAATCGCGCAATTAATATGTGGCGACTTCTCTCCAAAAATTAAATGCACGCATAGTTTTGTCCGCCTAGCCTAAACGCACAATATTTATATATAAACGTATAATCGTATAATAAGATATAACTTTCGCCGAGTCTTATACTGACGTTTGACGCACAAATGCGCGGATAAATAATGGGAACGAGAATTTTTGTCGCGCGAAAAAAAGAAGCTTGCGATCCAACCCGTTAATGAAACGCGTGTCGACTTTGTGAGCGATGGAGATCGAGCGTTTTTCCTAAGCGCGTGTACCGAATAAACGATTTTATTTACACCGGACTTTCCGTGTGCGAGAAGGGTGTCCCAAAAATTCATTTTCTATTAGCAATTTTGCTCTATCAGGAATATTTTAAAAAAGGTTTTCGATTTATAATCGACTTTCACAAATTAATTGAGGTATGCATATAAATTATACGAATAATAAAATCCTTCTTCAATTTTAATTCTATTTTTAATTTTTACTCGCGCTTTGAAATTTTAAATTAGCATTTAAATTTTATAAAAAAAACTATCTACTTCAAAAATGTAAAATGATAAAAGTATTATAACAAATAAAAGAAAATGTTACTTGAGACACCCTAAGTAAGCCTATATTGATTAAATCGACAATCATATGTGTTTGTATGTATATGTGTGAGTTTTTCGTTATAAATTCATTGCAAAAACTTTTGTAAAAATAAATTTTTGAAAAAAATGTTATTAAAAGTCGTCTGTCACATCGCGCAACAATTTTATTCAAAAACATATGCATATTCAGGCTAAAAAGTTAAACCGGAAGGCACCCAGGCGAGGACACACGTATAGATAATATTTCGAATAATGATGCAACATACTATATAATTTTTCTCTAGCGAGAAGACATTTAAAAGCACGAACCATTATGTTCGCAATTTCGTACACATGTCGAATAAGAAAAATACATTCAAGCGTCACTCTACTACATATTGAAGCTCTCATCGTAAAACACTAACTAAGTCGAGTCAGTTTGATCTGAGCGATTTTTCATTCGTTTGTACTTTTAAAAAGGAAATTAAACAGTTCTCTATCATATACAAATCGCTTTAAATTTAAAATATTTAATGGCAGATCTGCTTTAAAGAAACACGCATTATTTTACCGTGCGACTTTCTAAAGAGTAATAATTGTCAACAGTTGCGCCAAAGCTCAATTTGTAAACTGCAAACATATATAAGTACACATGCTCGTCGTATTTTGATAATTACATTGATCGACAAAATATTCGTCGAGCACTCTTCCTCTCTCTCTATGTGTATATATATATATATATATATATATATATAATGATAAAAGTGCCGACAAAAATATAAAACATATATCCAATATTCACCAGGGGAATATTTCAGATCAAAATTCAAAAACATCCCCATATACGCGACGAAAACATGAATTAAAAACTAGAAAATAGAAACGAATCTCGGAATAATTTGCAAAATGTTCAGAGAGTATTTCGCAGCGCGAAGAGAGCATCGTCGCCTGGGTCCCTGTCCTCGGAGCCGCTCTACGGCGTGCACATGCGTGTACGACGTAGAAGCGGGAGTGCAAGCTGCGAGGGACAACCCCGGTGGCGTTGCGTGGGACGTGGTTGTATACCCATTGTGATATCGTGGCGGGCATTGCCGATACGGGTATTCCTTGTTGCCGGCAGCGTATTGCTGGGGATGTTGCTGCTGCTGCTGCTGTTGCTGCTGCGGCGTCGGCGGCGGTTGCTGCTGCTGATGCTGATGCTGAGGATGCCATCCGCCGTTCCGAGGGTGGGCTGGCAGCGATGGGGCGCGCACGTGCGGACCCGACGAGGCGCCATTGGACATCACGGCTCTATAACGACCCTGCATGCCCAAGCCGCGATGCTGATGACTCCCGGGACCGTTCATTCTTCCCTTCGTTTTCGCCCTCCGCTGGCTCCGGAGGATTTCCTCCCTCTCGCACTCTCTCGCCCTTCTCTAGCTTCCCTCTGGTCTCTCTCATCCAGTGGTGGTATTTTTCCCTTTCTCGAGGATCCTCCTGTTAATTCCTTGATCGTGCCAGCTGTCTCCGGATGTCCCCGTCTCTCGTAGGATCGCTCGCCGAGCCGATCGATCGACGTTAGGTCGCCGAGGAGGTACCTGGCGAGGGTATTTAAACGATGTTACCTAGCGGGGCAGGTTGGACGGATGTGACAAATCTCGCTCTTTCTCTCTCGGTCTCTCTCTCCCTCGCGACTTGACATTTCGAGACGCGCTGAAGGAACGTCCGAGCTGGCCCCCGAAGCAGCGCGAGCGCTGCCAAGTATCGATACGCGTGCACGATATCGAGATATCTTTTTTGCCATGGAAACTCGTTTATCGTATATCTAGATTTTTCGAAAGAAAAAAATACTCTTTTATTTTCTGTTTTGCGCGCCGCTGAATTTCATCAAGTTTTCCTCTCCGTCTTTATTGAAAATATCGAGTTCTCGAAAATAGATCTCGCAGAACCGAGAAATGTCAATTTAGAGATAGACTTGATTGAAGATATATAAAACGGGTACACGTTTTTATTCAAATGTACGATTTTAAATGCGTCATAAATGTGTCAATCTCGAATAAATTAATTGATGGCCAAATCGGATACGTTCCTCGACGCGATAAATTTGTCCGCGATATCCGCGATATCTGGATATGACTTTTTACACGACTAAACACGTCCTAATCGTCTCTGTACAGAATCTTCAATTTTCCCTCGCTCGTCCTTTAGCTCGTAACCAGTGTTGTTAAAATACACATATATTTTCTGCATAATGAGATCGTACATGATACTTTTTGATAACTACGTTTGAATCTAGATACAAACTTGAATCTACATAATTCGTGAATTAAGATACTTTTATGTAAATTTGTGGAATTTTTGTTCTTTTTCAAAAGTAATAAACTCGAAATTAGAGATCTTTATGTAATATTACTAAAACATTTTTTTTTTCAATCGAGGTATTTAATTACTAACGATTATTATTACAATTAATTCTGCAATTGTTCGTAATAAACATGTCACACATTAAAGCAGATATTTTATTTTAAAAAGAGATTAAAGCTATACATTTGCAGTCACAGATCGTATTTTTACCAACACTGGATCTCGACAGTAAGGCATTTCGTGAAAAGGAGCGGCTATATAAATCGTATATTTAATAAACCGATTGGAAAACGTTTGCAAAGTCACGTAATATTTACATCGCTAATTTCCGGAAATGTTGCGTTTGTCATAAACAGCGCTCGCGGATCCATTTTTCGATGCGATTGACTGCTTTAAACAAAATAATGATGTGATTTCTATCTAATAAGCGAACACAAATAACAACGTCCTCTTTATAAATCAGTACTTTGTGTAAACTGCAACAAGGGAATCTGAAAATTCATGAAACTTGAACAGCACATGTAGGGCACTTTGACAAGTAACGATTTTTCACAAAGCAATTTCGACGAATCGTTTGATCGTTTTAATTAATAATAAAGTATAGATTGTTGATTTAATTTTGTCAGATTATAAGAGGTCTCGAAGACAATTATGGATGTTTGTCATTTTCTTTTTGTCACTTTGTACTTGTTCTATTTCTCTTTTTACTGGATATAGGTGAACATTTTAAGTATAATTTTTTATTTAACAAACGCACAAACTAATCACTACGATGTGTTTAAATAACAGACTCAAATAATGTAAAAATGTAATTAAAGGCAATAAAAAATTCTTGTCATTTATAACAACTAATCAATAGTTCTCTACAATAAATATATTAATATGTGAAGCCTTACAGTAGATCAGAAAATATATTTTTAGCCAAGAATTTAATTTATTGATTTTCATCTACAGATAATTACCTGCATGCTAATAATATTGTTAGCTAAATGCTAAAATGCTAAAGTATTAATTATATCAATACTATAAATTATATATGTATAATAAAAATTTTAATGCTCTATTCATATAATCGACCAGATGATGGTACATTTTTAAACTTTATGTACGATCGAACTAAATAAAAAATAAAGATTAAAATAGAGCAAGTACTACAGTTTGTGTTATTAATTATTTTTGTACAAGTTATTATAATGAAATTATAGAAATGTCAACAGTTTCCGACGATGAAAAGTTGATTGAAGAATTTTTAAGTTTCCCCACATGTCAGCGCAACTTCATGTTTTCCAATTTCCTTTGTGAAAACGCAGTAAGTAAGAGTGAAATGTAATAATTTCTGAAAATTGACGGATAATCTGAATATTTAAAAGCGTTCCTTTTCGACATGCGCAAAGCACACAAACACATTAATTTAAGCACTCGGTTTCGATAACAAAAAGCACAAAGCACAAGAGAGGAAAATCGTATAGAAAAATGCGAAATGTGCTTCATCGACAATTACAATCTTCACACAATATAATAAATCACTTTATATATATGTACAATCATTTTGCTAGTGCAATAAGAAGACAAAAATACAATTACGAATATGCAAATAGCCGACAATAGGCCGAAAGCACGTGAAAATAAATTGGAGGAAAATTTTCGGCATTCGGTAAAAGGTGCACAAAAACGAGAGAGACGTAAATGCTAATTCTAATCTAATCTACGTAAGCAAAAAAGGAAATATTCATGCACAAGAGGATGCACTTTACATAATCGTGCGAGGGCGTCGGTCAGACACGGCTATCGGAACAAAGAGAAGGTATAAGAGGAGATGAGAGAGAGGGAGGGATGAGATAAACGACTCTTGTGATCGGAAATACGTTCGATACGAATATCGGCGCGAATAATTGAGCGCCGTAATTTCGACAGTAATGCGACGCATTTATTCTAACGTAACAATGAAAAGCGACATATTTTTAAGTTCAACAGTTTAAAGGTCCATAGTCGGCCATAAACACGTGACGCCTTTATACTGTTTTGTACCTGCAAAGTCGTTAAAGTGCTGTTCGTTCAAATGGCCCTTCGAACTGCTATTTTTTCACATTTGTGAAAAACATTTGAAAAAAAATCATTAAAATCCTAAAGTTTCTATTTATGAATGATTGAAAATAGATTACTCTTTATGGCATTTAAATGCGATAATTTGTTTAAACGCCAAACAAAAATTTGTTGACTTGACTAAATTACTATTTTGTTAATTGAACATATATTAATATTTAAGTCAAATATTATATAAATGTTTTGTTAGACTTAATGTTATATTACTTTAAATATTTTTATATGTTTAATTAACAGAATAGTTAAACTGTGTAGTCAAGTTAAGAATTTCTTTTCAGTGTACACTTGTACGTATCGTGAAATATGTGAATCAGAATACATATAGTAAAACAATTAAAACACCGATTCAACAATCGATTTTATTGTACCGCAAAGTGACACAAGTCGTTTTACCTTTGCTAAATAATCGTTGTTGAAACTTATTATTAGTCTCCGAGGAGATTGCGCCAGCAGATAATAAAACGAAAATTACCGACTCTGATTTATTAGTTACGCGACGCGATTTCCTGCGCATCGAATTTTCATATATCTGACCATTTCTTGCGTCATATTTACGCCCTACTACTAAATCGATTTGTATCGGTCAAAGATTTTCTATAGTCGCACGTTCACGAAAAAAAATTAGCTACCACAGCTAAATTGTTGCTGTCTCTATATTACATAAAATTTAGTTATCATACCTAAATTTCAGCTATGATAATTAATATTTTTTAGAATTTTTCTTTAAACTATAGCTAAAAAATATGATTTATCATCGTAGCTAAATTTCAAGTTCTAATATAGGGACAGCTAAAATTTAGCTCATCATAGTGGCTAATTTTTTCTATGATTTTCACTAAAATCTATATACCTAAATCTCGAAAATCTTTCAATTTTCCGATCGTATAGCTTAGAGAACCTTATTGCCCTTCTTGTTTAACTAAAACTCGATTTCCGACTTTCTCGAATCTCTTCAATTCGACATAGCATAGAAGAAACAATAAATGTAAAGCATACTTGGCGAAAACATTATCCTGATGGATTTAAAAAAATTTCAACAAAATAATACGCGGTCGTGAAAAAGAAGACAATACTTGGCATTGTTCGCATTGTTCGGCGCAGCGTGCATCTTTCCTGAGATCGTCTCTCATGGCTGAGCGCCGCTGCCGATTTTTGGGCCTTTTTGGGCCCAGAGAATCCCACCGCAGCCGACCAACGCGACGCAGGTCCGAGGAAACGATTAAGTGAACCGGAATATCCAGACCCCGTTGCTCCAGGCCCGGCCTTCTTCTTCTTCTCTCCGCTTTCGAGCGTGGATCCGTGTGCGTTTGGGAAAAAAATGTCTGCGGACCCCGACGAGATAACCGTAAGGTCGCCGTATATTTTTAGGCGGCTCTCCTCTTTCGTGTTATAGCTCGCCCGATGTTGACAACAGTATATGCGATTAAACAAGTCGATTGTTGAAAAGATAAAGATAGAAAGAGAGAGAAAGGTATAAAGGGGGACTTGATCTTTAAAGAGACAAAGCCAGTGTAAATGCCTCGGAATAAATATGATGCGAGAAACAATGAGGATACGTGTAGGTACATAGATGGCCAGCGAAGAAAATTCACATCCGTCTTTCTCTCTTTCTCTCTCTTCTATTGTACTCGCATAATATTGTCTTTTTCAGTGTTATATCCCCATTATTGTTCGTGTTTAAAGGGAAATAGACAGAAGATTTTATACGCGAAAAATGATTCTCACAGAGAATTTTTCCTTAGAATTTACACGGAAAATCATGGTAATCGTGGGACAATATGGTACTGATATTAATAAAAAATATTAATATCTATACCGCAATAATTATAAAATACATTTTATTCATTTTACTATATGCATATATTAATATTTTTTATTGTGATAAATATTTTTAATCAGAGAAACTTTTATACGCCAAAAATGATTCTCTCAGAGAATTTTTTCTTAGAAATAATCCTGAAAATCATGATAATATTAACAAAAAATATTAATATCTACAGCAATAAGATGAAAAATATAATTGATTAATTTTATTATATACATATTAATATTTTTTATTGTGATAAATATTTTTAATCAGAGAAACTTTTATAAAATTCTTCCAATACTATACTGTTCCACAATTACCGTG